CCTGAACAAAATACTTCTAATTAATGCTTATTTCTTAATATTCTCATTTCTCATAACTGGATGATGCCCTTTTAGCAGATGCTGATGGCCAGCAGCCTCCCTCAGCCTACCAAGAACAGCTGCTACCACCTACCATTCTCAAGATAAATTAAGTTAAAGATCACTCTTTGGAAAGGCAGCCAGAGCCTTCTGACTTCCTCTCCACTTCATACTTCTCTACTAATCAACAGCACAAGCGCCAACACCAGTGTCTCCAAGAACGACACAGCTTCAGTTCCCTACAGCACAGTGATGTGAAGCACAGCCTTAAGGCATCTCTTAGGAGAGAGCACGTATTTTAGAATTCTTCATTAACTTCTCATGAACTTTCATTTCTACAGCTCTGCTGCAAGATGAGCTTTCTTAAAAAGACCTTCAACCCTAAAATTATTTTTAAAAGCTACCCCGTGGTATAAGGCAACTTCAACAAGGAAGTATTTAGTTTAGAGAAGGATTACCTCTGTCAATCAGTTCCACTGAAAAATGACAGCATGTGAGAACGAAAGAGAGAAAATTATACAAAAGAGAAACACATTTGTTGGGAGTTGGAAAGGAAACAGATTCCAGCACATAAAAAGAGAAGATAAAACAAAGATAAACACAAGCTAACACACTTAAACAATATCACTCTGCGTTTACAGTGTGACCAGAATTTGTGCAGAGCAAAGTCAAGCATTTGACTCCTGCCCCCTTGGGCGCTCGCATCGCCTGCCAGCATGACTGAGCAGCTTTCCCAGTTCACTCCCTCGCTGCCGGCCAGGGGCCCTTTTCGTTATACAGACACTGAAGTGCAAATGGCTGCACTCTCCTTGGGTGGCTGCTTGTGCACTGCTGCCTGCTAAGGCTTGTGGTTAAGCTCTTGCACTCCATCTGAGAAGAGAAGTGCAATATTTCCAATGCTTACCATGGCCCACTGCCTAGCTTTGATCCTCATCTGATTGTAGCTGCGTTCTTCGGCGTACAAGGCACTCATAAAAGCACCAATAGATGTTCCTCCAATCATATCTACAGGGATGCCAGCTTCCGTCAGCGCTCTGATAACTCCCACTTGGGAGCATCCCCTGTGCCAAGAAAGGGAGGAAAAAAAAAAAAAAAAGAAAAGACATTATCAGACAAACAGCCATTGAAAGAGCATAAAAACATGAATGCCACCTTCTAAGGGAACTTGAGTGTGCACTAGCTGAACTGCCAATCTACTGCTAAACAAGCCTCAATGCCAGAAACAAACATTATGAATGCAGAAATATTCAAATAGACTCCCTGCGGATCCTAGGAAATACAGACCACCCAGCCTGACTTCAGTATGAAAGGCAGCGATACGAAAACAACAGCCAAGAGTCAAGCCAGTGGATATGCGAGGGAAAGTCAACATGGCTTTAAGGGAGCAATGCATCAAAAAATCTAATAGGGTTCTTCCAAAGCAGCCAAGAATAGCTGGATTTCAGAGACCTTTCCACAAGTTTCTTTTCCAATGATTCTTCAAAGAAACTCAGCCAGCCTGAGATCACGGGATGGGTCACCACATGGATTAATAATGAATTTGAAGATGGAAAACAAAGAGCAAGAACAGACAAACAGTGATGAGAAGGCAGAAGTTTCGTCTGCACACAGACCCAGGAAAGGGGCAGATGAGGAGGCAACATTTGAGGATGATGCAAGTTCCTTCAGGATAGTAAATGAATTCCTTGATTTAAAGAAGTGCAGAAAGAACTCAGAGCAATGATGGAGTCAAATGATAAACAACAGATGAACCTCAGTACTGATGGGACAAGAGGGAAACAGAAGTAGCAATGCCCCCACAGCAATAAGCTCTTAACTACCTCCGTTCACACACGAAGATTTTGGAACCATTGTGGATATTCTCTGAAAAATATCAACCTAGTGTTCAGTGCAAATTCAAAAGCCAAATCAGAGAAACCAGAATAGAACAGTAAACATAAGAATATATATCCATGATGCACCAGGATTTTGAAAACTGCAAACAAGCTCAGACTTCTCACAAAAAAAAAAAAAAAAAAAAGCAGAACTAGAAAATGACAAAGAGAAGCAAAAAACATGACCAGAATATGGAAAGGACTTAATGTGAAAAGAAACTAGACTCAAATCTGTGACTGGGGAAGATCATGACTAATGGGAGACACACAGGGCCAGCTAATGATATCACCACGCAGAAAGTTTAATGTAAAGGAAAGAATTTGCACACAGACACGTGTATGTAAAGCACAAATTAAGGAAACCATTGTTACACATGCTGAAGAGGTCAAATCACAGATGGATTTAGATGTGGACTGGAGGAATCAAAGGTACCAGGCTGTCAGTGGCTACTAAACATAAAAAATCAGAGGTGCAACCTTGCGTTCAGGAAGCTCACAAGCTGCTAATTGTTGCAAATACTTGTTTCTGATGCAATCGCTACTATCTAACATCAGAAAAGGTAGGTGGAACATTTGATCTGATCTTATGAACAGCAATCCCCTAATGGGAGAGGGATCCCTGTCCGCTCTACAGAACCATTACAGAAGCAGAGAAATTACCAGCGGAGGCTGACTGCCTTCTTATCAGTACAAAATTATGGCCTCCAGCTTCAAATGCTTTGTCCAATTAATATCAGGTAAGTCAATTACTTCATTCCACCTGGATGGATGCTTTGCAGTCTAACCCATACAGCTGTAAAATCCTCCTTTTCCCATTTTCATCCCATTTTTCTGTTCCCCCACGGTTTGCTCTATTTCCGTCCTATTTCCCCTTGCTGTTTACATCCTATAAATACTTGCTAACAGCTGCCAAGTCCACCGTAGGTGTCATTTGGCCAAGCTATGCTGAACACATTCTTTCCATCTAAATAAATCCCTTCCAGCTGCTGAAATGCTTTGAGACAGGTTCTCGGTTATACTGGTGTAAATGACTTCAGTGACGGATCTGCGCTGGTGTAATCCAAGAGCAGAAAGTGGCTTGTTCAGCTTTCCTCTCCAAATTCTCCTTCCCCTGCTTTACTATTGCTTCTTCTCAAAAGATGCTTTAAGTTAAAATAATTCTATTTTCATCGCTGCCAGAGCAGCCCATTGTTTTTAGGATTTTAGATCGCAGCTATCTTTGCAATCTGCTTCTTGTGCCTGGCACTGACTGCTGCCTTATCCCTGCGCGTAAGTCACGAGCTGACACTGATGTTTCACTGAGGAACTGACCTTACACTATCCAACCTGCTTTCTGGAGAAAGCCTACATCATGTGGATTTGTTAAGACATGTCAAGTGCTGTAAAGCATTTCTTGCTTGGACGGCAATTCTAAACTGGCCAGGACTAGCTCCAGACTGGATTGTCTCCCTTTAACCTCTTCCAAAACTGGATCTCATTCATGCGTTCATGCGTCCATAAAACACAAGGGATTTGATGCGATCACTATGGATTTGCTTTTACTTTGCTGTATGATGCCCTTGAATAAATAACAAACGATTTATTATTACTTCTGTTGGCAAGCCATCACCTCTGTGTCTTGCATCGCAGAGTCCCTGGCAATAATACAATCTTCCAGCTAAATGTGTAACAGCCACGTATCTCCAACAGATGCATCGATTTCAAAGCACTGACTTGCAAGATAGGAATGAAAGCACTTTTCTTGCTCAGAAAGGGACCTCCTATTGACTGCCAGGCTAAGTTATGTTTCATTTATACATGACTACAAAGCTGATTCTTCCAGTTCCAGCATCCTGAACAGCTTCACGGTTGAATCCATTTGGGCAAACTAAAATCCCGAGGAAAGGCAAATGTGCCTGAACCCACCTAATTTCTCCATGCACCACCCAGCCTCCTAAAGATATTCCTTCTTCTTAACAGTTTTTTCCCCTCCCTACCGCTTTAGGCCATCATTACCCCAGCAATGCTACTATATGAAACTTTTCAACAACTCCTCGCAGGTGGTTCTCTCTTGGCCACTTCTTCGCAGCTCACAGCGTACATAAACACGGGCAGGCTGCCAAGGGAAGCGTGTGCCGGAGCCGGCGCTTTGCCAGGCAGCACGCATCCCGCTCACTGACAACTTGCCGGTGCATCACGGATAGCCGGTGTGGGCAGCTCTCGTACTACAACTAAAGAGGAAAAGAAATTGAAGCCAGGAGCTACATCCCTGTTAACAGTCAGAGAACTAGCGCAAAAAAAAAAAAAAACAACCCAGGGATCGGGCGCTTCTTGTAATACCAGGTGCAATTTCACAGGGGATCTGTCCCGTTTTAGGGCAATATGTGAAAATACAAGTGTTTGGCAAGAGGAGTACAAAGGAAGATTGCTTGTGGCAATGCTGTATGTACATGTCAGTGCCAGAGCACTTGCGTGGAGTGGAGGAAGGGACGGGGAAATCTCCGGTTACCTGGCTGACACGGAGCTGAATATCACTTGCTCCGGAGGCAAGGAGGAACAGGGGAAGTCATCAAGATTCGGGTAAGAAGCTTCTCAGATGCACAGTATGCTGCTGGAGCTGCACATGCAGCTGTCCTTTGCCATAAAGCCGCCTGACGGTGCAGCTGGATGGAGCATTTCCCCTGCCAGGATTAACGCCTGTCCCCTGGACAATGACAAGGACTCCTGGCACCAAGGACAAATGACCTAGAAGATTACTTTCAAATAATTTGCACCAGAACCCAAAGATTCGCCCAAGAAGTGCAGGGTCTGTATATTAACAAAAACTCTTTTCCATCGTGTATCACTCCCTAGGACAGGCCTGATTAATTAGTGCCCTTTGCAGAGACAGCGGAAACAGCACCAACCAGTTTGAGGAAGAACTGGAAATAAGAGCCACGCTCCGTTTTCACCCCTGCCACTGCCTCTCAATCTGATCTGAGCCAGGCAAGTCGCGGGCTGCTCTGTGCATCAGCTGCCCCGCAGTGCCGCTTCCTGCACTACTTACCAAGCTCGTGCTTGCAATATGCTTCAAAAGCCTCCAAAAGCAGTGCCGTGCTTCCTAAATTCCAAGCGCCATCTCTTCTTTGTACTAATGATCACAAATAAGTGACCAGGAAGCAGGGAGAGGAGTTATGGGGTTGAAGACGTGCTTCCTTGAAATAACACGGCACAGCAAGCAGAGAGCACAGACTTTCTGCCAGAAGGTCTTGCAGGAAAATTCCTGCTCCTGAAACAAGCCCTTGCTTTCATCCACCCGGGAAATGCCACTGGCATGTGGCTGTAATGCACGAAGGCCAGAGCACAACTGATAAAAGAAAAATTCTTCTGCGAGATGTGCATGTGTCTGCTCCACACGTGCCTGCCAGAGCTCAGATTAGATATGACTCTCAGGAAGAAGCGAGCAAACGCAGCAGGACAGTTCATATTAAAGCGTCAGCTGGAATACAGGCTGTTCTCTGTGCTCAGGTCAGGGGCCTGAAGAAAATACAATTAATACAAAAACAGAGACTGTGCACCAATATTTTCTCCACAAGCCATGCTTAACATATCAATAGGATGTTGTCTGTCAGCGCTAGGAAGAATAAACGTAATACCGTGAGCACACAGAGAGGGGACACTCGTTTTTCAGACTGTGACTAACAGAGCCGCAAGGCAAGGCTGCAGCTTGAACACGCTGCACACCTCCAAAGTCTACTTCAGTTTCAGAAAGGAAGAGAAAATACAGCTCAGGTATTCAGCCTCCCCAGCGCCTTCATCAGGATGAAGGAGATCTCTCTGAATGCACTGAAGAGATGTTATTTCCTTTGGTTAAGAGCAGGATTAAGGTCATGGCTGCTGCAGAGCTCTACCGTGTCTCTAACCAAAGCCTCCCTGGAGCAAGACACACGGCTTGCTGCACCACCTTCCTGATGTAGTTAAGTGGCAAAGTAGGTAGAAAAACAGAGAAATTGCCAAGGGGACTTTACTGAGCTCCACTAGAGCCTAACAAACCTGAATGAAGGCTCCCTCATAACCTTAGAACTCCTGAAGAAATAAAGCTATACAAATAAAAACAGCTTTTCCTTCATATAACAGCTTTGAATCAAAGCATGTTATGAGCAGTTGTTAGATCACCCAGTTTACGGGGTAAGCACAGATGAATATGTATTTACGAATCCATTTCAGAG